GTGCGTGCAATGAGTTGTCCTAATCCATTTGACATCCCTCTCTTCATTAATTCTAGAATCCATGGAATCTCCCTCCACATTTTGAGATCACATACTTATTACTATAATGTAATATTTTTGTCCTTTTACTGTTAGTTAATTATTTCGCCATAAGCCCACAAAGGTGTCTTGATCTGGCCTGGCATGGAGTTATTAGTCAATCCTAAATGAAAAATTCAAAGTTTTGAAACAACATAGGAGTTTCGTGTGTGTGTGTGTGTATTTTAAGTTCTAATTCCACCGAGCTTGAACTCTGTTCAACAAATTGCTTTAGGGTCTTCTAGTTTTTAGTACATCATTTTGGATTGAACCATCTTTATTGCCCTTGACTTTTATGTTTTTTAATGTCATATAGATGCCGTTTTAACATATTAAGGGTCTATTTGGAAGGGCTATTGCTATTGTTTTTGCTCTTGTCGAATAACTCCCTCGAAAAGCTATCTTAGGTCAACTTCTTGTACAAATATTATATAACCAAATAAAACACTTCCATAAAATTAGAAGTAGCTTTTGACTTTTCAAAAATTCTGCCAAATGGGCCCTAAATATGTTATTTTTTCTATTTTTCGAGTTTTTAAGGAAACAACCCACCTTGAGTTATGCTGAAGTAACAAGGAAAATTTTCTCAATTTCTTCATTAGTTTTACTAAGAGAAAATCTTTGGATTGCAACTTCTTAATTGTCCCGTGCGTGCTTAAATAATGTCAGTTATTTTTAATGGTCTCGTCCGTAATTATTATGCGATATGCACGTTAAGATTTGATGTCATGGCTTCTTAAATTACTTATTTTTTTCTCTCTCTCTCTCAATCTTTTCCTTTTTTTTGGCTTCCTCCCTTCCTCTAGAGACGGCAACAAGGCGGGGTGGGGTCCAGACCATGGTGGCTATCTCCATCCCCGCCCGTTGGGGATTTTAGGAAATGTGACCGGAAGAGGATAAAAATATTCATATTTACTGTTCAATTTTTCCATCCCTACATTCCACTCATTTCATTCTTTATCCCCTTTTTCATACAATTTCAACAGCAGTTTGATTTGATCATTTGTGCGTCCGATGTCAATGGTGTTTCTGGAAGTGATCTTGATGAGTCATGTGACAAAATATGAGGACTTGTTGGATGCATAGAAGCAACTCTTCAAGAGACAAATCTAACAGCTCGAAAATGTAGTTAGCACCTAATCAACCAAAACATTCCACCACGAACAGCTAAACACACCTTATTCGAGCACAATGAACCAGAAAGCAAGAAAACAGCACAGCAATCTATTAGTCCACAAACGGTTAGGAGTTCGCTAATAAATTGGCGAGCTCCACCAGAGTGGATTAAGCTCCTTTGCACCAATCTTCAATAGAATTGAAGGCCTTAAAAGTTTGTACAGCAAATCATAGACCACAAACCACGCAAAGATAAATGCCTCAATCTGATCGTAAAAAATCAAGAATAAAAATATTATACATTCCTTGCTACAATGTTCATTAGTGGAAAATCAATTTCACTCAGAAAATGTGTAGGCATATTCTAGAGAAGATGTGATGAAAGGCAGAGCAGAGAGAAGGAAGGGTTTTAGCCCCGTTTTATAGTACCATTGAACTGCTGTGAATGGCCTTGATCCAAGTGGCACGATTTAATCTTGCAATCTAATGTCTGGAGATATATTGCCTGTTTTATATTGTTGTGAAAGTAAAGATGCACTTATAAACATGTTTTTACCCTTTCTTCGAGGCACCCACTTCTACAATAATTTTCCAAAAAAATTTGTTCATGGTATAGATCGTGCACATTTTGTGCCGTGCCAATGTGGAAAATACCGTCCGACTCTCACATCACTCTCATCAGTTCTATCCCAAAATCAACACATACTTGTAGAACCAACCTTATCGTTATAATATAATATTTCA